ATTTCAGTTTCTTTGGTCCCTGTACTGTATAAGTACTGGAATGAAATTGATAACACTTTGGCAGTTACCACTTCCAGCTCAAGAGCAATGAACACAATGAAAATAATACCTGTCAAATTGCCTCCATGATAAGTATAAAGTCTTTAGGAACCCAAAGTGGCCTGCCAATTTGACACTGTGGCTCCTTTGGGGGATTAGGGTACATAGGGACTCTGGGACATATAGTCTATCATCTTCCATGCTAGGTTGTGCCTTTTTGTCAAATTGTGTTGGTTGTCACAGAACCAGAGGCCTGCTAGCAGTTCAGTTTTCAGTTTCTTGTTTAGATCATTTGCGGGTCACTCTCGCCAGTTGCAGCATTGTTGGGCTGCTTCTTGTATATGGGGGATGATGGCATCTACTACCTCCTCCCATTTGCATTTCTACTGGGGTATGTGGGAGAAATTCCTCCTCCCTGGGATGTGTTTCAGCACAGAATTGAATCGGTTGAAATATTGAGCCCAGCGGACTTGTTTGGGAAATAGTTTTTCTGGGGTCCTAAGGGTCTCCAGATTTTGGTGGTCAGTCCAGACTTCAAACAGTTTCTCCCTCACTTCTAGTAGGTGGAGGCAGATTAGCAGTGCCCATCTTACTGCCTCTCTTTCCCATGCAGCCCATCGCCTCTCTGTGTCTGTGAGTTTACAAGAGGTGTAGGCACAGGGCTGTAATTTTCCTTGGCTATTTCTTTGGAGTAGCACTGCTCCCACTGCCACATTGCTGGCATCTGCTTGGATGATGAAGGGTTGTTTGGGTCAGGATGCTTCAGCACAGGTTCCTTTTCAAAAAAATTCTTTTAGTGTTTTGAATGCCTTGTGGCAAGTTAGGTTTTACTGTATGGGTTGTCCCGGGCAGGGCTTCATCCTTGGGCCCCTTGTCTTTAGGAGGTCTGTCATGGGTTTGACAATTTTCACAAAGGGGGGAATGAATTGCTGGTAAATGTTTGCAAATCCTAGGAAACTTTGTAGCTGTCTGTGGGTACAAGGGGGCTGCCAGCCTAGGATGGCTTGTACTTTGGCTGGGTCCATCTCTATGCCCTCATTTGACACTCAGTGGCCCAAGTAGCCTAGCCATTTGTGGCGAAATTTTCTCCCAACAATGAACCAATGGACCAAAGAGACATTTTGATGATTGTCATTGGGTGCAAGAAAACCCTGCAGAGCAGGGGGTGAGAAGAAATTAGCCTGAAGGTCCTTTCCAAATGTATGACTGCCTGGAAAACACACCTTGAGAACCTGTCCACAGAAAGAAACTGACTAGAACTTGCTCTCCCAGCATATGTGGGAGAAATCAAAACAGAAGAATCCATCACTAGAGATGTATATAGTAACTCCCATCCAGCAGAAGGTCTGGTGAATGTCAATGCAAAACTAAAATATGAATAGTGATGGGTAGCATGTAGGTTAAGGTTACCACAAAGAATTCCTAAAGTAAACACAATTTCTCATCATGGTGAGATGTTTTGGATTCTATTTTATTATATTATTTCTTAATTTGTATCTCTAAAATGTTGACATATGTACATGTGATGTCCTTTTATTTTGATAATTTTTTTAAGTTAGATTCTTCCACAACAGGCCAATCTTTTGCTTACTTCTGAGTCAATATGTATAGCTTTCTGCTATATAAAGAAATTAGATTTTGGGAAGTTTTTTTTTTTTAAAAAAACCCAATGTATTTATTCATTTGTATTCTGCCTTCATTATTTTTACAAATAACTCATATCCACCACATCTTCACCTTCTATTGCATCAGTGTGGGAATAAACTTTGACTTGAGTATTGGGTAATTATTAGTCTAAGACCTTATACATACATGTCTGCCTAAAGGTCACCGAGATAAAGCAAGGAAATTAAAAGCAAACACCAGAAACAATTAAGCAGCTCAGACAAGTATAAACAATTCTATGTACTATATCTAATTATTGTAATCCACAATGTGAATGCTTACTATGTACAAAATTCTCAATAAAAAGGGAGCACTGAAATTTGCTCTGGGCTTCCATCCCGAGTACACACGTTTGTGTCTCATTCTTTCCATGGGAGACCACCACAAGTGGTGACCCCGACATGATCTGCTGCAGGTGGTACGTGTCTGGACCTCCGTGTTTCCTCGCCTGGAATAGGTAAAGTACGTACTTAACTATTGCTGGACAATAGAATTTTTTCAGGGAGCATGGGGGGAAAACTCTCTCAGCCACAGGAACGGCATGTTAGTGAGCTGCTGAAGTTAGTCAGGACAAACTTCTTTATCTTTAAACCCTCTGGGGGGGAGCAAATAGTTCTTTCAAAAGGTAATGTGAAAGAGCTGCTGCAAGAGATCTGGCGACAATGTCCCTGGTACTCTGAGAAGGGATCTTTAAAGTTAGACACGTGGAGGAGAATTGGAACTATCCTTCATGAAGAGCCACGGGCAACAGCTGAAATTTTGATATATTGGAAGGTTGTTATGACTGCTTTAGAAACCCAGCAACAACCTCTTTTAAAAACTTTAGTAGAACCTCCTCCTTATAAAGGAGTTGTGTTGCACCGTCCTACCCCAAAACTGGAGTATGTTTCCTCACCCTCAACAGCGCCTATGCCTATGGATGATAAAATCCAACCAAAAATGGGAAAAGTTCAAGCAATGATGCATCAGGCTTTCAATGAGGGGAAATTAGAGCCTGACGAGATTCCCCAGATGAATTTGTTTCCAGTTAATAGGCAAATAAATGCTCAAGGTAATCTGCAAACTGAATGGGTTCCGATTCCTTTAGCAGTTCTTAGGGAAATTAAAAAAGCAGTTAAAGATTATGGTATTCAAAGTCCTTTTACAAAGGGGCTCCTGACAAGTTTGGCTACCTCACGCATGATTCCTAATGACTGGAAAGATTTAATGAGAATGATATTGAGTTCTACTCAGTATGTGGTTTTTGATTCAGAATATCAAAGAGAAGCTATCACTAGGGGAAGGAATTCGGGGGGGCTGTATACGGCAGACCAAATCTATGGGGCAGGCTTGTTTGAATCCACTGCTGATCAAGCTGCTAATTTGCCTGATCACGTATTTCCAGTGGTTATCGCAGCTGTCCTTGGGGCGTTGTCCCGCATCCAGGATGTGGGAACCCCAGCACGGTCTTTTTCTCAAATTAAGCAAACAGCATCTGAGTCTTATAATGATTTTGTGGAAAGGCTACAATTAGCAATTACCAGGCAAATCTCTAATGAGGAAGCTGCAAAAGAACTTTTGCTGAAATTGGTAGTTGAAAATGCAAACACTGACTGCAAGCGTATCTTACAGCCTTTGGTGGCTAGAGGTGAGGTTACTCTGGCTGATCTGTTAAAGGCATGTGCAGTGGTGGGTTCTCAGGCTTACAACTGGAGACTTTGGCTATGGCATTACAAAAAGGAATGAAACCTACAGGGAATTGTTTTAATTGTGGGAAACCTGGCCATTTTAAAGCCCAGTGCCGTGCCCCTGGGGGGGGGAATGGCATTTAACAAAAATAAAAATAGGGACATCCGCCCGAAATCAGTCTGTCCAAAATGCAAAAAAGGGTTTCATTGGGCAAATCAATGTCGCTCTGATCAGAACCGAAATTCGGGAAACTAAATTTGGGGCGTGCAGCTAGCCCCGCTCCCAAGGCTGTCACAAAAGCATTGCCTGCAATTACTGGGAGTGCAGGTTCGAGTTTAAAAATGCTGAACTCAATTGATGTGACCTTTCCTAATCAAGTGTACATTGAGGACACTCATTTGCATGGGCCACTGCCAGAAAAAACAGTGGGATTGGTACTTCCCAGGTCTTCTGCATCAGAAAAAGGTTTTTTTGTTATTCCAGGGGTTATTGATCAAAATTATAAAGGGGTTATTAAGATACAAATATACACTGATACTCCTACATCATTAATGGCCGGTGACTCTATTGCCCAGTTATTATTGCTTCCATACATTCCTATGAATCCTTTAATTGGGATCCCACGAACTGGCGGTTTTGGGTCCACTGAAATGGCCAGTTCTCCAGTTGCTGCAGAATTGCTAGCGCTGACAAAAAATTTGACTACAGACCAACCAAAAATGACAATTGAAATTCAAGAAAAATCATTTTCTGGCCTTATAGATTCCGGAGCAGATGTCTCTGTGATACGCCAAAAGGAATGGCCAAATGAATGGGCGCTTGAGGACACTCCGGCTGTTCGTGGAGTGGGTGGTATGCAGTTTGCAAGAAGTAGTGTACATTGGTTGAAGGCATTGCATAGAGAAACTGGTGAGACTGCAAGGATTCAACCTCTTGTGTTGCCCTTGCATATAAATTTGTGGGGTAGAGATTTACTGTCACAATTTCACACAAAAATTGTTATTGGATAATGGAAAAATTACAATTGATAACCTCTCAGCCAGTCTGGATTGACCAATGGCCACTTCCAAAGGACACTCCTTCACATAAAAACAAAAACGGGGGAAGTGGATGGATATGGTTTGCCTTACATACAAAACATTATTAATATTACTTTATATACTTTAAATTTTCTAAACATGACAGCTGCTACGGCAGCCAATAGGCATTTTGCTTCCTCCCCTTCTGCAGGTACGCCAAGACCGAAAGTTCGGTATAGGAGACTACCAGATCCAACGTGGAGAGGACCTGTCCCGCTGATAACTTGGGGCCGAGGATACGCTGCTGTTGAAGATGAGGGGACAGTTGTTTGGGTTCCTGCTCGCTGTGTGCGTCCTTATCATCAGCCAAAGGGGCAAGGGGATGGATTTGGGGGAATGGAAAAGAAACATGTTGATCCAGGACATGGGGAAGCTAGCAAACCTTCATAATAAAACTGATTGTTGGATATGTATGCACATGCCAACTCACAAAACATCAGGGCTTCCAATGGCTGCAGTACCTCTGGCCGAAGGTGACTGGTATAAGGGACAATGTTATGGTTGTTCAGGGACGTGGTCTAGCAGTTGGACTAAAAGTAACATAAATACCTTACACCTTGGAAGCCGGATCCAAGAGGTGGCGGGTATCTGCTGGAAACACAATGAGACAGTAAAGAATATGACTTACTTGGGGACATATCCGTTTTGCAACAAAACAATTATTATTAGCAATGGAAGTTGGTTTTATTCGAATGATATGAAAACTAAAAAACTCACTTACTTTGTACATAACATTTCTCGATATGATATTATATCTTTGATCAATGAAAATAGGTGTCCATATATTCCTGCCACATGTTGTCCCACCACGAGAGAAAACCAGTTGTACAAATGTGCGAATGGGAAATATGCACCACCGTCCACTTATTTGGCTATGTTAATGGAATCCTTTGCACAATTAATCTATGCTGAACCAAATACGGTTGGTCATCTCCTGGGAGCAAATCTATGGTTGCTGTGTGGACGGATGGCCTATGATCGCATGCCAGCACGATGGAAAGGGGTCTGCACCTTTGGGAAAGTAATCCCATCTCATTTCATTCAAAAATCATTGGGGACTGCTCATATCTGCAATGCGCGTTCCGCAACAGAATTAAACTCTGTTTTGACTCATGACTACTGGACACAAATATCAAGGGGAGTTATTCCTCCTTTAGGAGTCATGATGAACTATAGAGATTTACATCGTTTAAACAATTGGACAGTTACTATGTTTAAAGACACCATTAAAACTCTAAAGCTGCTTGAAGAAGAGCAAGGAAAAATCCTTGACTTTGTCCTGCAAACCAGATATGCGGTGGACACTATTTTGGCAGCGCAAGGGGGAGTTTGCGCTGTGATTCATACGCATTGTTGCATGTATATCTCTGATTATTCTCCAAACATTACAGCTACTATACAGCATATGGAACAAACCCTGAATGACAATCCATTACAATCGGAGGACGAGGGACTGGACGTGTGGTCTGCACTTTGGTCCTGGTTGCCAGATGGTTCATGGATTCGTCACCTAATAGCTGGAGTGATATTGCTTTTTTTACTTTCTCTTTGTGTATGCTGTTGTATCCAATGTCTCCCTGGACTTTTAGGAATGTGTCGGGTGAAGCCTACGGAAGGAGAACTGTTGTTGCAGATGGCGAAAAGCTACCGAGGCATCCGTGATCATCAAAAAACTAAAACAGGGGAGATGTGGAAATAAACTTTGACTTGAGTATTGGGTAATGATTAGTCTAAGACCTTATACATACATGTCTGCCTAAAGGTCACCGAGATAAAGCAAAGAAATTAAAAGCAAACACCAGAAACAATTAAGCAGCTCAGACAAGTATAAACAATTCTATGTACTATATCTAATTATTGTAATCCACAATGTGAATGCTTACTATGTACAAAATTCTCAATAAAAAGGGAGCACTGAAATTTGCTCTGGGCTTCCATCCCGAGTACACACGTTTGTGTCTCATTCTTTCCATGGGAGACCACCACACATCAGTAAAGCTTATTATTAATACCTGTACTTGTATACTTTTATGGATTTATTTATTATTTTTCTATCCATTCTGCAAGACCATTCAATTAGTTTTTCATTCAGGAAATTATATTCTTTCAATCTTCCTTCATTTGGAATTTTAGAATGCAAGTGAATGCAAGTGAATGCAAGTGAAATTAAAAAAAAAGTTTATATATTTTCCTGTACAAACACAAACACACACACACACACACACACACACACACACACACACACACACATCCCTATTTGACAATAACTTGAAATTTCAGTTAATACTGAATCTACGTTTCTTAATTCTTTTTATTAGGCACGTTAATAAATGAAACTTGCCATTTGTTTATAAAGTATCCATCTCCCTCTAGCTGCCAAGAAAAGTAATGACAATCTTTCAGTGTTTCAGCTTAATTTTATAAATAAAAAATTATGTATAAAAGTTTGTGTTTTTCCCCTCTTTTTCTCTTTTGGTATAGTGCTTCTTCTTTATGCATAATGTTTTACTAGCCAGACTACACACAATTCATGTTCTCAAATGACCTGGTTTATTCCCTTCCCCATTTCATTAATGTTACATAGAAACCTCCTGAAAAAAGAAATAAAGATGAAATTCATGTCAATGTTACATAGAAACCTCCTGAAAAAAGAAATAAAGATGAAATTCATTCCAAAATGCTGGTTTTCCTTTAAACACTTTTTAAAAATACAGTTTTAAAGCATTGAGTATTATTTTGAAACCATTCCTTTAAGTTTAATGAATTATTCAAGAAAAATCTAACTGGTTTTGAAGTATGCACTAAAAGAATTACTCTCTGAACATCTTTGAAATCTTGTAGATTATATTTTCCAAGCAGGGGTAGGATTCAAATTATTTTAGCAAAGGGTTCTCTGCCCGGTTGCTGGGTAGGTGTGGCCATAGTGGGTATGGTCTAGTCAGTTTCCTGCACCATGGCAAGGGAGCATTTTTGCCCTCCACAGGCTCTGGAGGCTTTCCTAGAGCCTCCAGGAAGGCAAAAATGGCCTCCCTGAGCTCTGGATGCTCTGTGGAAGCCAAAAATGGGCCCATTTCTGGCCTTCCTGAATTTCCAGGAGGCTCTTTTTTTGCCTTCCATGAGCTTCTGTGTATGCCCTGCACTTACCTGCATCTAAAATGTGCTGCTTGGGGATTCCTGGGAGGGGCGGGGCAGGGTGGTCAGGGCTAGTCAGGAGTGGGATTTGAAGGTTCTCCAAACTGCACAGAATCTTAGCTAGGAGCTCTCCTGAAACCCTGCAAACTCCCAGCAGCCCATCCCTGGTTCCAAGGTATTGCAAGTCCCATGACATACCTTATGACAATATGTTCGGAAGGACTCATCTGTCAAGTTACTCACCAAATTGAAGGACAGCTTTTCCAATAAGTTGCCCTGAGCTACTTCACCTGCAATCCATATGTAGATATTACTCCACAAAATAAACAGTTGATTTTCATGGAACTTTATCAAACATGTGGCTTTGACCATCTGGTTGTTTCTTGCCATATTACCAGCATGGTGAAATGAATCCAAATGTGATTCTGTTTTGCATAGTCTAGCATTTTTGTTCTCATCAAACAGGGTGACTATGGGAAGTCCATAGACAGGATATAAATGCAGTAGCAAATTGTTTCTTGCAGTTTTCCATATGGTATTTATATATTGTGTCATATTTCAGGGCAGTGAATTCCATAGTTCAACTATGTACCATGTAAAGAAGTCTTTGATTGGATCTTTCCCTTTCCATATTGGAGAGGCCCAAGATTCTGCTTTTTAGAAAGCAAACTATTTGTAATGAAAATGGAGAATATCCGTAAGAGAAAGACCAATTATAAGCAAAAAGGTAAATAAGGAAACCGTGGATTTGTTTGCATTTGCAAGAAACTTAAAGTAATAGCAGCTCAATGCTCCATGAACTCAATGCTCCATGAACTGTACCATCAAAATCATATTATCAAAAAAGGAAAATAAATGATTTGCTAATTTCTCTAGATATTTGTATGCTCAAATAAAGCTACAACAATTAGATTTGGGACCATTGATTGTTACATGAAGCAGTAACTAAGTGAAACTAAACTGCATACAATTTTGCTTCGGATTTCCTTTGCTTGACAGAACAGCAAAGGTTGTAAAGCAAGGACTGGTCATCAAGTTATTTTTAATTACTGCCATTAGTGTCTGTGATCAGACACTAAACAAAGCAGTTACTAAATGAGGATTATTTGTATGTAGTAGCATTTTCCTGTTTAGCTGAACATCTCCCACACAACACTATTTTCACCCTAAGAAAAGAAAGGAAGAAAGAAAATTTTACAAAGGCTAGCTTTGCCTCAAACTAAAATAATCAATTCTAGTGTGGATAAAATTGGTAGGAAGTTGGTTTACATGCTGTCTTGTACAACTTAAACAAAAGTAGAAAAATAAAAGAGAAACCATGAAGAAAGAAACTAATTAATAATTATTATATTCTTGTCACAGCTGCAGATAAAATGGACCTAATTCAATTAAAATGGCTTTTACCATTTTAAAAATTGTACCCTTATTTTAATTAAATAAGTGTTAGTAGTTTATCCTCCATGATAGAGAGCTTTGATTCTTTTTTTAAATCATGCCAGAATATTTAAACTGTTGCATGAACAAAATTAAACAGGGAAAAGAGTTTCAAGTCATGCACTTTCACAAGACAAAGTGTTACATTTTGTTCACCTATTGAGGAACTGCCTGCTCTAACTTTGAATAAACTCAGTTGTAATTAATTGTTATTATCTTAAGCTAAATGAGAACCAGTAGGTGGACCTGTGTGGGTGGGAAGATATGATGTATTAATTGATCTACTGAACTTAGTGCCCTATGGGTAACCCCAAATTTAATTTAAAAACACTCTTACTCCACAGTAATAGAAGCAAAATTGGGGGTGATCCTCCATATGAAATCAGAAGAAACTGTTGTCTCTATGCCAGTCACAGTCAAATTGAGTGAACATGGTGGTTTTCATTAAGTGATCAATAATATATTTTATTAGTTCCAGAACAATGCCCATGCCCATTAGAAGTCATCTCACTCAACTTTTTAAAGTGTGAATACCATAATTAACTGAAAGAAAAAATAAATTAGTTCCCCCTGAAATCTGGAGGTTTTCAAGCTACAAAAGTCCAATTACAAATTAGCAAGCTGTGAATAATCAGATTTTTTTTTAAAAAAAAATCAGCCTCAAAGCTATAAATGGTTCTCCTGAAAAGTCCCTCAGATTTAAAAAGTTAAAGTTTAAAAGCAATTGTTGAAAAATAGCAAGCAAATCCTTAACTTTCATCCAGGTTGAGCTGACTGCATTTATATTATTTGAAGATCTCCATTGCTTCAACATAGGGCTAGTTAGCTTAAATATTCAGATCAATAGCTTGTTCAAAGACATCGTTTTATGGTTAACCTTGTGTAGTTACAGTAGCCTGAAGAAAGAATGTGTGGGGTTGCCAGCATCTCCAAGGTTACAGCTTCTTTCAGACTTGTGTTGCTGCATGTCAGAGAATGTATGCATTGCATATGTCATTCAGAGACAGTTGTATACCTGTTACATTTATGAGCCATGGTGGTGCAGGGGTTAGAGTGCAGTACTGCAGGCTACTTCTGCTGACTGCCAGCTGCTTGTAATTTGGCAGTTCAAATCTCACCAGACTCAAGATTGACTCAGCCTTCCATACTTCCGAAGTCGTAAAATTGGACCCACATTGTTAGCAATATGCTGATTCTGTAAACAACTTAAAGAGGGCTGTAAAGCACTGTAAAGAAGTCTAAGTGGTATTGCTATTACTACATTTATATTTCTACAAATGTTAACATTCTGGCTAGGATTTGCTCAAATAACAATGTGCCTTGCTTTCTGCCTACTTCCCAACAGAAAGTCAGGTCAAACAATCAGCATGCAGGACAGTGGTGGAATTAATTTTTTTTTACTACCGGCCCTGTGGGCATGGCTTATTTGGTGGGCATGGCTTGGTGGTCATGTGACTGGGTGGGCATGGCTTGGTGGTCATGTGACTGAGTGGGTGTGCTTGGTAGTCATGTGACAGGGTGGGCGTGGCCAACTCAATGTCACTCATATCAAGGGGTGCCTCACCTGGCCCCTCCCCTCCCAACCATTCCTTGTCACCCAGCCTCAACTTATCTATAGTTCTGTAAAAATGTTGCTCACCTTTTTTAACTTTATTATCTACATACTATAGATGTACTTTCATGGACCACTGGAACGAGGAAATGGCTCACATGCTTTGCCCAAGAGTGTGATAGGCAAAAGGCTTTTAAGGGCTGCCACAAAGAAGTGGGGGCAATATATTTTCCAAAGAAGCAGAACGCAAACAAGAAGCAATGGATGTAAACTGAACAAAGAGGGAAACAACCTAAAACTAAGGAGAAACTTCCTGACAGTGAGAACAATTAATCAGTGGAACTGCCTGTCTCCAGAAGTTCTGGGTTCTCAGTCACTGGAAGGTTTAAGAAAAGACTGGACAGCCATTTCTCTGAAATGGTATAGGGTTCACCCCAAGGTCCCCCCTAAGTGTTATGCTGTTATTCTGATACTTTCCCAGGATCTCTACTCAAATTTATTTCATAATTTCACATATAAAATAGCCATTCATGTAATACAACCTGCATATTGTTCAAAACAGTAATTATTATGGCTGATGTTTGACAGCAAGCCCAAGTCAAAGATCCTAAGAGTGCTTCTTTCTCTGTATGTATACAAAATATCACATACGAGGAATAGCATATTAAGCTGGACTTATGCAACCTGATGTACAAAATAAACACACACATATTCATGCTCTGGACTAGACGTTGATGTAAATACCTGAAAAATATGTGGTAGCCCTGGGCAAAAGAAAAGCAGTAAAATCACTCTAGATCAGAGGTCTCATTCTCGCAGCCCGCAGGCCAATTGCGGCCCGCAGGACGATATCCTGTGGCCCCCACCATGATATGAAAGTATAATATTAGTGCGTTCTCCATGCATCGCTAGCTGGCTAAACACTTCTATGTGCGGCCCAGCCTCACCCAGACTCTGCCTCCAGAGGCCCCCAGGTAAATTGTGTTTGAGACCCCTGCTCTAGATGTAGTGTAGTGACAGTATAAAATATCAACACATGATAAATAATGAAACTGTCGGCCTCCGTGGAATCCTTGTCCAACAGCAGCATGATTGTGGACGGGAGAAGAGATAGCCTCGTCAAAAGAAAAACGTCATCAATGTCAGCCAAGTAGTTTAGAGGCTGAATAGTTTAGAAGAGACTTTAATCTGAAGAGAGGGGGAGGGAACACTCTAACCATCTAGCTTGTTTATCAGGGACGGACTGAGGTGATGAAAGGAGCCGTGGAAAGGAGTTGCAACAGAATGCGAGGGGGAATTTCTTTCACATGCATACAAATGCAGAAATACAAACACACTCACAAAGATAAAGCCATCATCCTGATTTTTTTTAACCATCCAATTTCCATAGTTTGTAGGGAAAGGAACTGTTGTGGAGTGGTGGCAGATACGAGGCGGATGCAGGCTTGGTTTTTTAAAAGGCTTTATTCGCGTGAATAAAGGGTTGCCGCGGCTGCCGGGGCTAACTGGCAGTCAGCTGGCGGCAACAGCTGATGCCGTTTGACAGCTCCTTTTATAGCCGGCTGTCAAACGGCATCAGCCAATGGAAGCGGTCGGTGCTCCCGCCCAAAGGGCGGACCGGAGTGAGGACTGCAGTCAGTCTGTGAATACAACACTCCTTTCCCCTGGCCAGGAGCATGCGTAGTCCTGCAGTCGGGTAGGCTGCCTTCGCTGGCGGCCGGATCTCCGCAGTCCTGGGGACTCGTCTGCTGGTGTAGAGTCCCTTGCCTCCTGGGTTGCGCTGGAAGCTGCAGGAGCTCGATGTCGGCCCTCTGGTGCCCTCGCCCGAGTGTCCGGCTGTGGTCCTGGTAGGTCCCTCCGACCGGCTTGCTGTGGGAACGGCTCAGGGTTCGGTGGGTAGACCGGATCATCTAGCGGGGAACTTGACTGCCTGGAAGGCATGAGCTTCTCTTTGTCCCCAGTGCCAGGGAGCTTGCTTATCTAAAAGTCTATGTAAAGGTTCTGCTATGGAAGCCTTGTGTGGGAGGAAAGCTGCGTAGAAATTTAGAAGCCCTAAGAAAGCTTGAAGTTCCATCTTGTTGGAGGGTGTGGGTGCCTCATGGATGGCCCTGACCTTTGATTCTATAGGATGTATTCCAGAGGCGTCAATTCGATAACCTAGAAAGTCCACTTGCTTAGTGGTAATGGTGCACTTGTCTTTCTTGAGTTTTAACCCATGCTGCCTGAAGCGGTCAAGAACTGACCTGACCCTAAGTAATAATTGTGTTTTGTTGGTGGCAGAGACCAAAATATCGTCAAAATATGGGACTACGCCTGAGAGTCCTTGGAGAATCCTCTCCATAAGAGACTGAAAAATCCCAGGGGCCACACTAACTCCAAATTGTAAACGCTTACACCTAAAAGCGCCCCTGTGGGTAACTATTGTCTGCAATTCAGCAGTATGTTTGTCTACAGGAAACTGCTGATATGCTTGTGACATATCTAGCTTTGCAAAAATTGTCCCCGGCTCAAAGGAGTGCAACAGGTGTTGGATGACAGGGACCGGGTATGCACTAATTTGGAGGAAACGGTTGAGGGACGTTTTATAGTCTGCGCAGATTCGCACGCTGCCATCTTTTTTAAGTGGGGTGACTATGGGGGTCTCCCATTTTGCGAAATCTACTTGTTCTAGTACCCCTTGCTTGATTAGCTTGTCTAGTTCCAAATCCAATTTTGGGCGAATGGCAAAGGGGACTCTGCGAGGTTTTAAACGAATGGGGGTAGCTTGTGGGCCTACATCAAATGAAATAGGGGTACCAGAGTAACACCCTAGCTCATCACTAAAAACATCAGCGTAGTCCCTGAATAGGGTATCTACTTCAGTAGTTATGACAGAGTGAATCCCAGTTATGCTAAGACCAAGAGCAGGGAACCAATCTAACCCAAGTAAGCTAGGAAGGGCACCATGTACCACCACCAGAGGCAAGTGGCCTCTAAAGTTCTGGAATTGAATTAGGAACTTGCCTTTCCCAAGGACTGGAATGGTCCTCCCCTGGTAATCTCAAAGAGTCAGGTGGCAGTTGAGCAGCTTCTTCTTGGATAGTTTTGGGAGCAGCTTCTTTAGGGTGGCCCATGAGATGATAGAGAGGGCAGACCCGGTATCCACCTCCATCCGGCAGGGCTTACCTTCTAAAAAGACAAGCATACTTATTTTGTTAGAGCCTGGGGTAGTATTGTCTGAGTGGTAACAGGTGTAGCAATCTTCAACTTGCCTTTGGAAGGTGGAAGTAGCTTGAGGTCTTTGTGGAAAGGTT